ACTTGAGGAACATCACAGTAGAAGTTATCCAGCACGTTGGGGCCACAGAAAGGGAGTGGGAGCATCAGAACCACTTGGGAAATGGAATGAAGGAAACCTCCAATCCAGGCAGCCACCACTAGCCCCACACAGAGCTGAGGGTTCATGATGGTGACATAGTGGAGGGGCCGGGAGATGGCAACAAGGCGGTCATAGGCCATCACTGAGAGGAAGAAGATCATGGCACCTCCCAGAAAGTGGAAGAAGAAGATCTGGGCTAGGCAGCCCTGGTAGGAGATGGTCTTGTTCTCAGAAAGTAAGTCAACCAGCATCTTTGGGGCAGTGACTGAAGAGAAACTCAGGTCTAAGATAGCCAGGTTTCGAAGCAGAAAGTACATGGGTGTGTGGAGCCGGGAGTCAGAGGTCACTGTGACCACAATGAGGAGATTTCCCACCACAGTTGTGATATAGACAAACAGGAAGACTAAAAACAGAAATCGCTGAAGCTCTCGAGTCTGTGAGAGACCCAGGAAGACAAATTCTGATACCCACGTGAGATTCTCTGAATCCATGGTATTTGCTCCATACACCTAAGGAAAAGAAGTCACAGTCATAGATGTATAGAATCACTGTTTGCCCTTTAGTATCAGAGGCTCAGAATGGATTTGTCCAGGTTCAAATGATGGGCATCCTCATGGACAGATCATAATGCTAGGTGTTGATTAGTAGCCTTATCTTTGGTGAGTTTACAAGTTGGGTGTTGGAATATACATTCCTGAGACATTTTAAAGTCATGCAAAATGCATTAAAATGACATTTTAAAGTCATTCTCTGATAGAGAAAAAGATAGAGGGGACGATGAAAGGGAATGTATTTGTCTTTCTGTCTGCCTGCCCTGCCTCAAGACTTTCTAGCCTAGATTATTGATTCTCTTATCTATTAGAGATCATTCCATTCAAACCCACTGCTTCAGTTTGCTTCCATTCCAGTCTACATTCTATCCTGCTGCCAGTGAGACCCTACATATAATCTTTTAGTGACTGCTCACTAGTACAGCTTGCGAGCCACATCAAATACTTTGTGGATCAAATCAGCATAGAAAAACATAGTTAAATATGTGTATGCAAACCTCCCTTAGCATGTTCTGTAAGGTTATAAAATATAGTCACCAGCTACATTTCTAGTCAGTATCTGTGCTGTATACCACTGACTGCTCAGTGAATTTCTCACCCATGCTATCATTTATATCCATCCGAATTTCTGTTCCACTCTCCTTTCCACCTAGGGAAGACTCACTCAAATGTCACCCTCTCTGTGACTCCTTTCATCATTTCTCCTCTACAGAAAGAATCCGCCCTTTCTCATGGTTCTAATAACATGAATACCTGTTACAGGAGTCCTGGTGTGGCACTGTAGGATAATGCGCTGGACTGTAAGGTTAGTTTGAGCTGTGGGTCGATGGTTCAAACCCACCAGTTGCTCCTCAGACACTTTATACAGGGTCTATTGAGTTGGAACTGACTCAACGTCACTTCACAACACAACAACATCATGTCCAAAAAGTGCTCTGGTGCCACAATGGCTGATTACCTGGCTGCTAACTGAAAGGTCAGAGGTTTGAGCCTATCAGTTTCTCCTTGGAAGAAAAGACTTCACAATCTTCTCAGGTAGAAATTACAGCCTATGCGTCAGTTCTACTCTGTTTATAGGGCCTCTTTGAGTCAGATTGGACTCATTAGCACTTAACAACAACTTAACATCATAATTCATTTATTCCAGCTTTTTTTTTTTTTGCGAAACTGCATTGTAATTTCAATATTTTAGCCATCCCAAAACCTAGAATAGCAACGCTGATGTAACACATGCTGAATAACTGTTTGTCAAGTTAATATTTTAATTAGGTAATTGATTGTGTGAACTTCAATATGTGGAGAATTTCTTAATGTTGTAAAAATACATACAACAAAGCATTGGTGGTGGTAATGGTGGTGGCTATGTGCCGTGGAGTCGGTTCCAAGTGATAGTGACCCTGCACAGGTTTCCAAGGCTGTAAATCTTTAAGGGAGCAGAAAGCCTCATCTTTCTCCCGCGGAACAGCTGGTAGTTTCAAACTGCTGACCTTGCGGCTCACAGCCCAATTCGTAACCACGACGCTACCAGAGCTCTTTCTGGATTCTGATAACACCTTATAAATTCCTCTCTTTTCTTACAATGTTTATCATTTGATTGTTTTTGTTGCACACCCATCCCCCCTGCTTTACAACTAGACTGTAAATTCAATAATTTAGGACAATAACCTAGGCAGTAACTCTGTCTTAGCTGTTTCTTAAAAACCGTTTGCTAATTTAATGGATTATTTAGGTAATTATGTGACTTTCATTCTATGGAGAATTTTGGAATGAGTTTCCTTTGTTCTCAGCATCTTCTGAGTCCTAGGGCAAATTCTATGCTTGGTTGTTCAAAGCTGGCTTTCACATGAACCGGAAACAGCTGTTTTCAACAACACATTCCTACTGGATGACTTTCTGATGTTCTCCTCACACATTAAACCCACTAGCATCAAGTCTATGCCCTGTTTCTAGTCCTTCAACCGTCCAGCAAATGTTGCATGATCCTCCTTACAGTAAAACCCTTCTACAGGTGAAGAACCCTTCTTCTCACCTTCATTTAGCCCAGATGGGAGAGGGGCTTTGAGACTTGCATCTTTTTGGAGCTCCTTTCCCCAAAGCTTCAGTTTTCCAGCCCTTGCCCATACTTCAGTACACACTAATGAGTGTGACCCTAAGGGAAGTGGAAGTACCCTTGGGGAGAAGATATTGGACTGGGCTTAGGAAGCAGAGCTGGGCTGATTACCACTGGGGACAAGGAAGCAATGGGAGTTGTTAAAAAGTTTCTAAATGTCTCAAAAACATATACTCTTTGAGAGGTCTGCCTTGGGGGTCAAAAGGGTATTGAACATTTTAAAGATTTCAGAGCTGTAGAATTAGTAGTTGCTTTAACCAGGTCTTGGCATAGATGAGTGTACGCTTCCAGCATTACATCATTCATTGAAACATCTCAGTTGGTAGTCCACGAGTTCCTGAAGGCTTGTTTTTCACCAGTGCCTTCAGTGCAACTTGACTTTTTCCTCAGTATCATCTGTTCTTGATCATATGATACCTCCTGAAATCATATGATCATATGATACCTCCTGAACATCAACCAATTCTTTTTGGTACATTGACTCTATATATTCCTCCAATCTTCTTTTGATGGTTCCTGCATCAATATTTTTCCATAGAATCCTTTATCATAACTTGAGGCTTGAATTTTTTCAAATCTTTCAGCTTAGGTATTTTCACTTGCCTCATACGCACACGAAAGCTGGACAATGAATAACAAAGACCAAAGAAGAATTGATGCCTTTGGATTATGGTGTTAGCATGGAATATTAAATGTACCATGGACTGTCAGAAAAATGAACAAATCTGTCTTGAAGTAAGTACAGCCAGAATTTTCCTTAGAAGTGAGGCTAGTGAGACTTTGACCCACATACTTTGTTACACGTCACCAGGAAGAAACGATTTCTGGAGAATAACATCATGGTTGGTAAGGTAGATGGTCAGAAAAAAGAGGGAAGACCCTCAACGAGATGAATTGACACAATGAGTGCATC